TGTGTGTGTGTGTGTGTGTGTGTATACACATCCACACACACATATATACCACTTTTCTAAATATAAAAAATATATAACAATTACTCTTACGATTTTATGCTTTTATTGCAAGAGTTTTAACAAAATTAAAAATTTGCTTTTTCTATGACAATTACCTAAAAAAGAAAAAAATCTATAAAATTTCTCTATATTATTCTATTTGAGAACTTTACACAAAAGAATTGATGTCTCATCACACCATTTAAATATTGGCAGTAATTTCCTAACATGCATTCATTAGTTTTGTAGACAAGTAACACATGTATTGTTATAATTCTGTATCACTCGTTTGCTACAAAAACGACATAAAAATTGTAATTTTTTAATTGCTTATAAATAAAGAAAGGAAACTTAAAAAAAATGTATTTTATTCTTCCACAATCAGTTATTATTACATCAAAATTGCATTTTAAAATTAATATTACAAAATTTTAATGATTCAAAATATTGAAATTCATTTTCTGGAAAACTGTTTTTTCATCGTGTAGCAAATGAGCAATATAATAAATATTGTGTACAATAAATTTACATACAATGAGAATTACATATGCACTCTTTGATAAAAAAAAAAGTATAAAACGTATAAGTCTAAACAAAAATGATTCCAACGTTTAGATTTGCGCGTAACTTTTTTTTATTAAAGAGTGTATAACAATAAATACAGTAATTGTATGTGTAGAATAATGAATTAAAAATATTATAGCCTATCATAAGTTTAAAATGTAGTAAATATAATGTTCTCTTTTTATATAAATATGAACATAAACACACACATTATTCATTCATTAATTAATTTTATATTGATTTTCTAATTAGATTATAAATGGTTTGTTACATATTTTGTTTGGTACAATTCCTTATTTACATTCGCTAATGTCTAATGTAATAAAATAGAAGTTAAAGGATGGCAGAGTGTATTTGTTTTCATTAAAAACACATGACAAAATGTTGAATGAAATGACATTCTCATCAATATAAACAAAATCTTATAAGGACATAGCTTCTAGGAACAGAGCAACAAATCTTCGCAAAATATCAACAAACAAGATCATTTTTTTTAACAAAAAAAGCTTATACAAATCGTCATGAATGCCTATGTATTTTGTATGCATTCTCAACTACATGTATTTTTTTGCAACAGCCCATTAAAACATTGACATGTGTTAACACAAAATTTGTTTTAAACGCGTGTATTAAAATGTCATATTTTCAAATGATTACAAAGTTAAGAAATCTTTCCAAACTTTTAAGTGTGTACAAAGCATACGTAAAATAATTTCCATTATTGCATTATTTAAATCTAATTCTTTACAAGTCTGTACACTTTACATATTACAGATATGTAATTTTTTATATATAGTTGATAACGAATAATTTTGGCGTCAATACTTTTTCACTATAAATAGCTTTTACATACTGTCATATAGTACTGTAATAACTATAAATAATATTTTATTTAGCATCTTGTGCTTTATCTAGCATGTACTTATCAAATATATGATATAAATAAAAGCGATTTACGGGAAATGTAATAATATAATACTATTTATAGTGAAAAAGTTAGAAAATATATGGATGTATATTATTAAGTCGTAACTTCAATGTCACAAGTTTCTCACTCTACATATTTATATAATATTATCCGATCAATTGTGAGTCGTTAACTGATCATGATATTAACTGATCATTTAATTAATTATGTTTACAGTAGAGAATTCCTGAGCATGCTACGACATTGTTCAAAGTAAGGCACGCACTTGAGTTGGCATTTGCCACATATGCAAACGCTTGTCTTTACTTCCCGCTACAATCTGAAAGATAATGAAATTGAAAAATTTTTATTATTAGTATCAATATCTTAATTTATATGTTTAATTAAAAACTCATATAAAAATAGAGAAAATAATTATTGATACTTAATAAAAAATGTTCAAAGATAATATAAAAATATAAGGAAAGTTATCAAAAAATTGTTAAAAAAATATAAACTTGCACATTGAATACATACCTTACTATTTACAACTTCTACACTCAATAACATATTCCCTGGACCGCGTATGCTATGTATTAATTTGTGACTCTGTAAAGAGATTTATATTGAGTTGAATACATATAACGCAAATATGCTGTAATGAACTGATGATTATAAACTGATGATTTAAAATATAAGAATGCAACACTTACATTTATGTCAAAAACATAAATATTGCCGTCGTAACAGCCCGCGAAGAGTAATTGCTTATAAAGCCGCATACATACAATACCAACACCAGCCTCGTATTGAGTTACTTGTTCACCCGTCTGCAATTATATTTAAAAAATAATGATACAATTCAATTTCTGTTTGAAAGAATTAAAAAAAGCGATATTGTCACTTGCCGTGAAATCAAAAACGTTTATAGATGTGCTGCTTGTACCACAATAGATCAAATTATCATGTCGCAATAAACTGTAAACAGTAGAATTATTCTGACCACTAATCATACGAAGAAGTAAACCGGTCAATGCATCGCGTATATTTATCGGTTGATTTCGAGATGCTATAATGAGAATTCTTCTCGGACCTTCGTTCGTCGCTTTAAGCGCAAGTACAGATTTCTCCGAAAACGGAATACTGTCTTCTTTAATAGCACCAGCCTACAAACAAATTCGTATATATAAATATTTAACATATAAATATTAACTATACATTATATACAATTTTTTTTCATACATAGATATTCTTTTTTTCTTTCTTTTTTTGAAGTAATGTAAATTACTATATCTACATAAATATATAAAATCTTTTATATATTCATAAATATATAAAAGAGAATGTAGTTTAAAAAAATAATTCACCTCGATATAGAAACGCGAGACATGTCCAGATTTTGTTCCAATAAAGATCATACCCCATGCTTGATCCATGCACTGAATCGGACTCTTTGTTTGCGCCGGATTTCCTACTAATGCGCCAGTCTGCAAAGAAGTAATGTTTTATTAGGTTTTTTTTTTCCAATAAAATTGTTTAATATTTAAACTACTAAAGCTTACCATTATTTTGTAACAACGCAATGTGCCATCTAAGGAACCAGAATACATAAGATTTTTCTCAATTCCTGCGTCATCCGACTTGTAGATATACAGACACGTAACCGCAGATTTGTGACCTTTATATATATTCAATATTCCATTAGACTTTTGACTATATCTATATATTTTGCCATCTTCGCTTGCTGCTAGGAAAGAATTCTCAAAAATCTAAAATAAAAAAAAAGATTATATTTAGCCTATCTTGATAGAAAATAATCGTTTATTAAATTAATACCTTTAGGTCCAAAATAGGGCCTTTATGGACTGTGTATTGCATTCTCGCAGATTCATCTTCGTTGTTCTCTACTGTATGTGAAACAAGTTCCTGAACAAAATCCTTCTCGCTACTTTCCGTGGTTGATTTCTCTTCTAAGATTTCAATCTCGGATTTTTCTTTATCACAGGATTTGATTGGGTCAAAGAAACTTTTACTCGAAGCTGCAGTAGGAATTATTGCCGCATTGTGATTGCATGTGGTGTGCTGCATATACGACGAATCACTCGGTGCGGAAGGATTGATGACAATTATTCCAAGTCTGTCCAGAACTTTGGGATTAATATACTTATAAAGAATGGATTTACAGTCGATCAATCTCACTTTGCAGTATTTCATTTGCCAATCTGTGCGCTGTTTCCTTTTCTTCGCCACAGTCCTGTTCTTCAAAACTGCAGATTCTGTAATCGTATCGAGATGACTAGCCTGATTTTCGATCTTCGTTTCAGATTCAGTACTAACTTTTCGGGTATTCGTATTTTGCACTTTCTGTGAAACACGATTCTTCCTAACATTATTTACAATTCTTTCATCACGCTTTGTCCACGTTGGGGATTTGCTTCTGCTACGCGCTGTTAAATCATTCTCATGAAAAACGCTCGTCTCTCGTGAAGAAGGTCCGCTGCTGCTTGAATTAGTATCGGTTTCATTCATCTTACTAGATTTGTTTTCATTGGAGTTTCTGGTACTTCTTCGGATCGGTGTTGAAGTGTCGTGTTTGCGACGAAACTTTTTGCTCATATCTTTGCCCTTTGCTTTATTGGACGAGAAGGTAGAAGTCGACGTGTGTTCCAAACCGGACATTTGTTCAACGAACACTTCGTCTTCTGATCTTTCGTTCATTAGATCAATTGGAACGAAACTGCCTTGATCAATATTTAGAATTTTCTCAAATGTGTCGGATTTATTTTCAGGATTATTTTTCTCTTCTTCTTTGATGGCTTTAATGGTATTCTCGACGTTTTGACAATCTTGTTTCACAGCAATCATGTCATTCGAGAACTGCTCGGATTCAGCATCTGATTTTTTCTGTTTCGTATCTATATCTATTTTCTCCAAGATGTTTGAGTCACGCTCTGTATCTATTATTGCTATCTTGTCGTTAGATTCAACGCTGTTATTAGATCGCTCATTTTCATCGGAGTTCGCAGTGACTAATTGCGGCACAGATGGTGTATTACTTGCACTATCGATCGCTTCTTCCTTTTCATTTGCGTTCACTGTACATTTATCTTTCGCTTTATCTTTTTCATCCTTCTTGTCTTTCTCTACAGTCGAATTATCAGCTTGCAAGATTCTTTGTGAATTTTCATCCTTTTTTTCCAATCTCTCGGTGTGAACTGAAAATTCGTTTGTTGTAGAATCCTTATCTTTCTCTTCTAATCTCTCAATGTGAGCCGAAGATGTATTTGTTGTAGAATCCTTATCCTTTTCTTCCAATCTCTCAGTGTGAGCCGAAAATGCGTTTGTTGTAAAATCCTTATCTTTCTCTTCCAATCTCTCAGTGTGAGCCGAAGATGCGTTTGTTATAGAATCCTTATCCTTTTCTTCCAACCTCTCAGTGTGAGCCGAAAATACGTTTGTTGTAGAATGCTTATCCTTCTCTTCCAATCTCTCAGTTTGAGCCGAAAATACGTTTGTTGCAGAATTCTTATCCTTCTCTTTCAATCTCTCAGTTTGAGCCGAAAATGCATTTGTTGTAGAATCGACCAAATCAGTGCTTACGATTTCCGTACTGTCTTTCGTATCTTTATTTTTTTGCAACAATCCCAGACTGAAATCATCTTTTATTAAAGTTTTGGGCACGGATACTTTAATATCAAAGTTACGCAAAGCAACATCATTGGAATTCTTCACACGGTCACGTTCGCAATCTGAGGAATGACTTTCCACTTGAGTTTCTTCAGGAGTAATGCTACTGTCAGGCTCCACGTTACGTTCACTGTAGAAAAGAACTTTGTCCTGACTCACGGCTTTAAAAACATGATTCGATCCATCAGGTACATCATTACTGTCTTGTTGCAATGCAACTTCTTCTGTATTTTCTTTCTCTCGACAAGGCCAATCCGAATTGGCGTTTGCTTCAGCATCAACGAGAATTTGATGCTTATCGGACTGCAATACTGGAGAGACGTTGGACGTTAGTGGAGTATCATCAGAAGCTCGCGCTTCCGATTGAGGTTCAAAAAGATTTTCCTCTTTGTTCTCCGCTATAGTGTTTATCGTCTCATTTATGTTCTTCAAGATATTTGATTCAATAAGATTTTCTTTCCTCTGACTGAGCGTGTCGAGCAAATCTCGTTTTTGCTGCAGCTTCTTGATATATAACTGGTCCAGAGGTAAATTCTCTTCCTCACCTGTTAGATTGTTAACCGTCCTCAAGATGTTGTCCAGCTGCTCTTTCTTTTTCTTTTGTACGATCGATTTCATCTTCTGCGACATAGCTATCTCTTTTTTAAGTGCCTCGTTTAGCAAAGCGAGACCCGATGCTTTCTTATGTATCTCCGACGCAGTATTTTGCACCAGAGAATCCCACGTGCTATCATCAGTATATATAGACAAGGATTCCGGAGTGCTGTGCACGTGCTTGTTTGACAGCTGAGAATTTACCTTCATCACTTCACTCGGTGGCGAAATGTCATTTGACTTATCAGTATCAAAATGTTTTGCACGTTCAGTCTCGCCTTCAGTAGAGTCCCGACATTCTGAACGCTCATCCGCACTTTTATCCGTTGCACTTTTATCTGAATCGATCGAGCGTTTCGAACTAATATCAGCCTCCTTGTCAGTCTTTTTTCTAACGGTTTTGTCCTTTCGCGCTTTATTATTTTTTACGGCGTTCGATTTCTGAAAATTTTCAGATGTGTTAATAATACCATTTTCTATTTTTTTACTCACAGAAGTCGGAACCTGTTCCTTTGTCACTTTGTTAAAATTTTCTTCTTCATCTTTTCCTTCGTCTTTCTGCTGTCTGACTGTCCGTTCTAATCGTGGCTTCTTTTTCCATCTAATCACCGGCGTTTTCGACCTAGGTGTGTAATTCGTATTCTCATTATCTTGTGAGGACAAAGTTCTCTTTCTCTTAATCAGCTTCGACGACTTCGACGGAGACATGTGTCTGTCTTGTTTAGCATGATTTATTTCACTATTCTGTGACGTTGACGGTATTTCAAACTGATTGGGAACAGTATTGTTTTCTGCCGTTCTTAATACTACACTGTCATTTGGCATAGATTTTTCACTCGACGGAATATTACTTCGTAATAATTCGTGCAACTTTAATTTCTCCGTCACTAGCTTATGAATCTCGAGATCAATTTCCAACATTCTAGCCAAAACAGCTTCCTTCGTGTTACCAACGATTTTCCCAGATCGTTTCATTTTCTTAAGTCTCTTCACCAAACTGTTCTTCCTCAGCGTTTCTTTAGATCGATATTTCATTTGCCGTTTATCTTTTAACCTATATAAAACTGAATCGTTACGTTTTTTCTGATCTTCGTAATCTTTCTCTCTGATCCTCGCGGAAGTTTCTTGGCTTCTCTTTTCTTCATGAACTTTCTCTTTTATTTTCTCAGAATTTTCCTGGCTCCTCTTTTCCAACAGTTTATCCAATTCTTTCATCTTTAATAATTCGACAACCGGTTCACGTTGTATATTACTGTGAAGACGTTTCTCGACGTTAGTCGGAGATACTATGGACTTATCATGATCAGCATTAACACCAACATCTTTACGGACCGATTCAACTGATTCACCACATGTGCTATTATGCGCCGGTATTTTGTTTACGTTTAGGCTAACCTGCGCAGTCATATTGTTGTGAGCATTTTGCGCGGTAGTCGTATTGTTATCAATTTCTGGCGTGCTCGGTTTTCTATTGTTTTGTTCCTCCATACGCCAAGTCGGCGTTTGGTAATTTATATCCGTTTCGTTCTGCTGTGTTTTGTCTAATATTTCAAGTGCTACTTCTTTAGTTGCCGTCGGTACATTGCTTAAAGATTTCAAAAAGAGATTCGCGGCCTCCTTCAAGGCAGCTTTTGTCGGGACATTTAAAGTTCTCGGCGAACCAGTCGGCGAATCCATCGGTGATGATCCCGCGAGCAAATTGTTTTCCGTTGGTGAAATATGCTTCATGTCGAATTTACATCCCTCCGATTTCGATACTTCGCTGCGCGATAAATCTGCGCACGATGTAATCATTGTTGTTTCCGGAATCACCGCGGGCATAATATCGAATTCTGGGCTTTGTTGATCAACAGAGAAATGCACGCACTCGTCGTCCTTGGTGTCGAACGTAGCAGTGTTTTGCAAACGATCATCTAAATAGAATATGTCATTATCTAAATGCTCGTCGGAATCGAAGCCCGGCAATTTGTCGCAGGATGCTTTCTCTGCGGATATATTAGTTTCTAAATAAATATGATTATCGAGATGTTCCGCGCAATCTCTTTGACAATCCGGCAATCTCAATGCATCATCCGAGATTGTTGCTTCTAACGCATCAGATAAACTGGGATCAGTTGTAGTTTTCAGCTTACTTATCAAATCCTTCGATCGAACTTCGCTTTGAATAATTTCTTCCTCGTTATCTAATAACATAGATTCTTTAATCACTAATCCCGCGCAAGACGTGTATCCTTCCTTGCTTATGGTCAACCGTCTATCCGTCTCATTACTTCTACCGATATTGATATCGTTGACATCATCGTGTAATATGGTCGTGACTATCTCGTTTGAGGATTTTCTTACATGCCCTTCTCCGTTTTCATCTGTTGTCAAATCGGATTTATCATTCTTCTCATTCGTCACGCATTCTTTATCTGAAGAAAGTAAATTGTCACCAAAAGCGATATTAAAATTCTCGTTGGCATTAATATTCGTATCGTTAGTGTAATCAGTACCAGGTTCTAGCGTTTCATAATCCTGTCGCCCTTCGATCTTCATATCCTTGCAATTGGCACTTGTCGTCACATAATTCACGTCGAATAAGTTAGGCTGCTCGAAGTCCATTACAGTTTCCTGAAGAAAGCCTTTAAACGGACTACCTACGCTGTCAGAAGAAATAACGTTGTTCTCTATGCTTTGCCGTTCTTGAGAGTTTTCGTTCGAAGTTGATGATGACTCAGCGGTCTTTTTACCCAGAGAATTGTCCTTATTCGCGCTCGCAGATTTATTTGTAGCGTCAAGAATATTTAATTTCATATCGTTTTCCTTAGTGCTGCTAGTGCTTTCGATATTTACTAACAAATTTTTTTTACTTTGTTTATCGATACTATCTACTCGAGATACCGCATCCAATTCGGAAATGCTGCGATTAATTGTGCTCTCCGTTAAATCTCGATCTGATTTTTTGATTTGACTTTCGTCCGTGTTATTCAATGAAAATTTTATGTTTTTGATTGTATCAGATTGTTGAATCTCAGTTGAGATATCCTTGTTTATTTTTTCTATGCTATTTGAGATTTTACTTTCAGAGATTTTCAGGACAATTTTAGAAGCTGTCGATATATCGGATTCAGAAGTGATATTACGAATTTTTTTATGGCTTTTTTTATCCGCAATCTTAACACTTGTATTCTTTGCACGCTTTATATTATGAATTTCATCTTGCATCATCTTAGAAGAATGTTCGCGCGTATCAGTGCTTTCAATGTTACTTGCAACTTTTTCAGCGTTTCCTCGTTCACGAACTTCTAAATTCAAAGAACGTTCTTTCTTAATAGTATTATGCGGTAATTCATTATTATCGTTATCAGCGTTGCCAGAAGAAATTGTTGACGTTTTCACATTGCTAGTATTTATCTTATTTTGAGAACTTATCGACTGTATTCCTTTAATTTTTACTTTGTTTATGTCATTAATATTATTGATCTTTTTTTCTTTTTCTTCTGTGCTTGTTGTCTTTTCCAAAGGAAAATATATTTTTGTTGAAATTAAATTATCAGATTTTGATGGCGTCACAGTCTTCTTTTTTGCTTTTTGTTCTTTTGCCATTTCTTTCTTCAGCTTCAATTCTTTACTACCTTCCGATCGAATATTTTTAAATCGTTTAGGATCAGACGCAACTTTGCTTTGTAATGTCTTATCTGTTGCAGTGTTCTTAACTTCTGAGCATTTCTTTGCTTTAGACGCTACAATTTTAGATGTCATTACAACGTTGGGCAATACATTGACACTGCTAGTAGCAAGCGATACTTTATCTTTTGATTTAATCTGATTACTTTTTTGAACGACGCTATCATTATTGACGGTACGATTTGAATTTTCTTCAGAACGTTTCGGTGCTAATCGTGGATCTTGAATGGAGCTGCTGGATGTAGATGTTAATGTAAATTTATTTACTGCAATTTCTGATTCTATGCTTTTCGGTGTAATTAAATTTTGTGTTGATGTAGGATTTTCTGCAGGCTTCTTCGATTCCAATTTCTCATTCATACGACGTTGTACGGTGCGCTCGTAATACGTCTTTATGTTGATCTTTTTGCTGCCACCTTGCTTTGGACTCGCAGTACTCGCAGGCGGGACACTTGATAAGGATGCTGACGTAGCAGCCGTTGATGCTCTTGATGTATCGTTATCAATAGCTGAGATTTTAGCTACTGATTTACTGTCTTGTATTTTAATAGACAATTCAGTAAGAGTATGTGTTGTTGCGTCCGATTGTTGCAATATCGCATTTTCATTAACTTCGCTGCTACATGCCGATACATGTGCAATACTGCTTTGCTCTATTATACTGTCATTTGTCGACAAAACAGTCTTATCTTGACTGCAGCCAGCGTCAGGTGTTTCATAGATTTTATTTAAATCTTCCGTACATTCCGATAAACTTGCCGGATTAGGTACATTCCAATTTTCCGGTATGCAAGTAAATACATTCAAGGGAACTTTATTATCATTCATATCGGATGTTTCTGGCATCTGCTTCAGCTGCGCTTTAGTTTTTAGTTGCGTAGGGGAACCTATCGGCAATCTCTCTTCAGCATGTAGTTGCGTGGTATTAATAGATATCAGCGGAATTTCTTGTGCTAAAGGAGATTCCACTCTATTCTGTGATGTGGAGAAGAAATGTGCTGTCTTATTTTCTATAGTCATAAGATGATTCGAAGCATTTATAAATTCAGCGTCTCTGGTATTCTCTTCTTGACTAATGTCTAATTCCTCTTTAACAATAACTTCTTGTATAACCTGATTTTCTATGACTTCCTTCTTAATTTCCTTTTCCGTCAGCAATCTATTAGTCATTTCATTATCGTCATTGCCTTTTTCTGAGGAGGAATCAGAGGAGCTCGTTATTTCCTTGTTTTGTCTCTTTTTTTTCTTATAACGTGCTTTTTTCTGCTTTCGGCTCTTGGAGCTTCTATAAGTCTTCCGCGATTTTCTCGATTTCCGCTCTCGTTCAATCTCGGCATTTACCTCGTCTCTTATCGCTTCGTTCAATGACATTTGTTTGGCTACTTTTTCATTTTCTTTTATCGCTCTCAATAACTTTGTAACATTTGTGTTATCACTACTATTACTGCTGCTACTGCTACTAGTGCTGCTGCTACTACTGTCACTGTCCTGATTGATATCATATTCTAAATATTCTGTAGTATGTTTTCTATCGTCACTATGCCGTCTAGATTTTTTGTGTTTTTCCTTTTCCAAACTTCTGTGTCTTGTATTTAATTGTTGTTTTGAAGATTCAGATGAATAACGACGTCGTGGATAAACTTTTCTACCGCGTCCTCTACTTAATAAACCGCGTCCTCTCTTGGTAACAACAATCCTTTTTGGACTATCTATATTATTGGAAGGAATACAGACTGTCAAATCTGTTTGCATTCCATATCTTGCTTCCCATTCTTCTTTAGTAAGATTTCTATATGCATGTGGATCTTCTCGTTCCTTCCTTTTCCATCTATCGCACTTCTCGTCCCAGTGCGGGCTATTCTCCAGTCTATGTGTTCTCTCATCTTCCATGAATGCTTCTTTCTCCATGCTTCTCGAAATCGCGCCAACATTGAATTTCTTTGCACTTTGTTGCCCCATACGCTTACGTTCTTTTACTGCCGCAGGTGTTTGAATTTTCTTCGTTACTTCTGAAAATATATCATCCAAATCATGTTGTAGAGTCAACAAGCTATTATTAACATTAGAAACGTTAGTTACAATAGGATTACAAGTGTCATCTTTTAAATTAAGATCATTATTTATAGTACTATGTGCCGGTACATTTTTGTTAGATCCCGTTTTTACCACATGACCTTTGCTTTTTACACATTCCTGACTAACATCATTCAACATTGTTGTTTTATTCGTGCATTCTGGGATTTGGGTTATTACGGGATTGAACGTACGATTTATATCTTCCAAATGACCATATTGACTGCTCGAAGCTGCTGCAGAATGCTCGGCATGAATGTCTGGTTGTACATCCAATTGTAATACTTCATTCAAATGATGTATAAACTCTGTAGGTAGATCCGTAATGGATACGATAGCGTCGGTGTCCAACATCGCATTTAATTGCTTCATAAATTCCTGTTGATCATATAGTTTCATCTTTTCGTCCTGTGCGTGTCTCATCTCCAAGGATAATGTAGGCTTTTTTTCTTTGACTAGACGCTTCATTATAATATCGAACTTTCGAAGACTAGTGTTATTCACCATGTTGTAAATATCGTTCTTACTCATCTTTAAGAATCGACTAATGATCCTGTTTTTCCACGAAGCATCCATTTTAGAATTCTCGTTCTTTTCTGCACGGTTTTTCGAACTTGGCACGTTGACTTTCGGAAGTGAAACGTTAGAATGTTGAGATTTTTCTGTATGGACATCTTTTTGTGGTTTTTTATGATGCAATATAATATTTTGGTTTGCAATCTCGGATGATATTGCATTCTCAGAATTATTTTCTTTTTTCTTCAAATTCTTCTCTTCTTTTTTATGCTTTAACAACGTATTTTCTAAATTCTTTTTAGTTATCGAAGGTGTTTTTGCTGCAGATGATTTTTCTGGTTCTATAAATGTTTTTTCTGGTTCTATGGAAGGTGTTTTTGCTGCGAGAGATTTTTCTAGTTCTATTGAAGATATTTTTGCTGTAGATGTTTTTTCTGGTTCTATGGAATATGTCATTCCATTTTTTTTCTCGTTATTTTCTTTCCACGATGACTTGGTACTTACTACTTTCGCTTTATTATTCAAATTAAATACTACTTTAGGACGCTCTAATTCATTCATTAACGCGGCAGCATCCTTAGCTTTCACATTTGCATCTTGTGTCGTTTCTTCCGATGATGGATAGTCTGCTGTACTTTGTTCTTCAGATATTCTTTTCTTGCTACTCGTGTCATTTTCTTTTATCTTTTTTTGCTTATTGGTTTTGGTTTTTGGCTTTCCTGGAGGCAGTGCTATAGACTCTACATCGCTAGCAGGATCAATTGAGGTACTGCTTTTGGAAAAAGATTTGTAACTTTTGGAACTTGATTTAGATTCTTCATCTGTCTTTCCTGTTATACTTGTCATTTCTTTTGCAAATCTCATAGCTTCCTGCATGTCGTTCAAACCATCATCTTTATTTATGCTGCAATGCAAATCAGAGGACGAAGAAAGCTCTGGTAAAGAAGATGAAGACACACAAGTATTAAGAGGCGCTGCATGTACTTGAGGCAATGACGGAACATGTGTATTGACAACAGGATTGCTGGGCAGCATAGGAAACATTGGAGAAAAATTTACTGAATCGATATGAGATGGCATAAAAACATTACTTTGATTGATTTCTAATGGTAATTGTTGAGGCATAAATCCTCCATGTGTATTTAAGCTCGTGTGAACTTCCATATTATTATAGACAGCAGGTATTGGATTTTGAGCATTACTCCATGGAGGATTTGCGTCTTCATGGGGCATTTTTGTCCCGAGTAAACATTTCATATTTGGTGGTGGTTCAGTGGGATCGAATAATGGTAAATCAGGAATTGAATATGGAGGTAAAATACACGATTGATCTTGTTTTAGTAATATTGGCGGTGGAGTAGTAGGATCAAAATCAACGGGCAACTCCTGTTCTGTATGTGGAGACAGTTTTGGTGGACCACTCTGAAAAGAATTTTCCTTCATTCTTGGCAATTGATTATCTAATGTGACATTACTTACTGGTGTATCAATTAATAGTGTTTGTGTCAATGTACAATTACTGCTATTTGAATTTTCTGCATGAACATGAGAATTTAAAGCACTTTCTTGAACTTGTAAATTTTCAAAAAGTTCCTCTTTCTCTTGCGATACGTCCTGCAAAATGTCCTGATCCGTTGAATCGATTGGAAATGATACATCAGCTTGTAAATCTAGTGTTTCAGACTCATCTGACTCTTTCATAACATCTGTGGTATATATTTCGATTCCCTGTGAAATATCCTGTTGTTGATCATCTTGCTCTTGTGAAATATTAATCAGTGGTGTATCATACTGGTATTGAAAGTCTGATTCTAATAATTCATTTTCAATAATGTTATCTGTATGTAGATCTGGTTGTTCTAAATTCTGAGAATTATCAACTGGCTCTTGAAGCTCCCAGTCCACTCCTTGTCCATTCTCAATCCATTCCTTGTCCACTTCCATGTATTGATTATCATCTGGTACATTTTCCAGATTTGTCATTTGATCGTTAGGTAAATGAGTTTCATCTCTGTTCTCGTCTAATATCATTATGTCACTGTCTGTATTATTAATAATATCTATATTATTAGTAATATCAAATTCATTCGCAATATACTGTGTATTATCAGGATTTATTTTTCCAATGTTCTTTAGATCATTGTACGTCAAATTGATCTCAGATGATTTGTATCCTACTACAGGGATATGTCTCTGGGCATTATCCTCTGTATTGTCCTCAATAATGTTAGATGATATATCTTCATTCCAAATATCTGGGATGTCATCAATGTTAAAAGAAGAGAGTTTCTGCTTCAATCGATCTGCTGTTTCAATTATTTTTTGTTGCCGTTCCTCTTCTGAGCCAAGCAAAGGAAGTTGTGGCACAGTTTCAATTATATTGGTCTCCTGCATAATCGGCTCTTCCGGCAACACGGGAGTCTCCTCAAAACTCGGAAGTATGGGCAATCTATTAGGGGCGGGGAATCGAACGTCATAATTACAGAATCTCCTTCGCCTACCGTCTGCTCTAAAGGGCGGGCTGCCACGTAACGGCGTATGAGGCTGAAAAAACATATTGTTCGGCTGCCAGGGCACACCGAATTGCGCGGGATGTCCTGGCCTCGGTAGAGGTGCTGCATGTCGAAAGGGTGGACGTGGAAATCGGGGCCTACCGAAGCGACGCGCGGCACGTGTACCCTGCGGGTAGCCCCTTCCTCGGCCGAAATTGCTGTAACTCATTCCACTCTTTAGCCTAACACCTCAATACAATTGCAACAAGAGTTCGCGTAAATACAACAACCTAGCACCGCACAATCTTTGGTAGTTTAACATGCCGTAGCAACGAGCATCTCTTCATCAAGATGCACATTTATTGCACTAAGCATTGACGATTCTTGCCTCTCAGGTTCCACAATTCGTCTCTTCTGCAGGCTTGCGCACTCGGAATGTCAAAGATCATCGTGTCTCTACATATCCTCGTCTTGAGCGTATTTACCCTAGACGATGATGTTGCTCTCGGACATTCCACCTAACCTCTCACGCTGCAAGGACCCACTCCGACCGCTCCCCGACGAAGTTGTCGACTGCAAAGAAACACGTGCGATTAGATCCTGAAGAGTAAACATCGGAGATGATGACAGCATTCACCGGCGCGTTTCATGCATCACGATATGACGCGATGGGCAAACCTGCAGAACTCACGCGTTCGCGTCAAACAATCAGATGTTTCGCGCTCCTTGAGTTGCGTGAGTTGCGTCTCCAATCCTTATCTCTCTCTCTCTCTCTCTCTCTCTCTCTCCTTCTTTCTCTTCCGTTCCCTCTCCTTCACGAGTTCCCTGCGACGGTGTTATTTCCGTCGCGTGGCGACGTCGCGGAGGATCCCTTCCTCTCGGACGGATACCTTCCTCGACGCCGTGGACCGCGGACTATGAACAGTCGATGATTTGACTCTCCTTGCCGTCGTTTAGACGAAACACCTAGGAACGCGTCACCCGATCGTTCACGGTACCATCGACGTACGTAACGATGAGGCACCCGTCGTCGTACTGCGCGTACACAATGTACACATGCGCGCCGACATCGCGGTCAACTTGCTGATAGGTTCGCCACGCGATTTCATTACGCATGCATGCGCGGGGGCGGCAAGAGGAGAGGTGGTGAAGGGAAATAGAAGAAAAAATTAAAATCATCTTTAATTTAATCTCTGATCGGTTCTTCCGCGCACACGTCTCGCAATCATGTAAATCGATCGAGACAACACGACGCCCGGCGGTTTTGACGTTATCCAATTGGCATACCGAGGCTTAATTACTTGTGTCCCTTGTGTCCATGCCTGCTGCTCAGCTGCTGTACTGAGCATGAAAGGCACCGAGTGCATTTGCGTTACTATTACGTTCTATGCGCGGGCGCTGTCTAAACTTTATCTATGGAAAAAAAAAGAAGATAGGTATTTTGTTTATATTATTTATATGTGTTCTCTCCCTTTTTTCTCGCGTTGTTGGTAAACTTCTTATAAATGTGCGCATATACATTCAATTTTCTCCAAGTCAGCTGTTTTTCTTTTAAATTAACATTTGCCTATTCCTTCTTCGTCTCTCTGCTCAACCGATTGAACTATGACTGCACCACACACACACCGGTCTTTTGCCACTTGCGGGCATCGTGGCTCGTCTCACAACACGTGACCGCGAGTGGAATGAGCAGAGAGCGAACGGAACAGGTGAAGTCTTTTAAACTCTGCATTAAATTAGATGGAAAATTGGGTCCCGGTGACATGAGTTGCTTTTCACACTCTGTAAAACTTTAGAATGAATTGTCACTCGGAAGAGAGAAATCTCATTCTTAAAAATTGAGAATTGAGCTGCTTTTTTTCCAGCATGTTGCCTCAATTTTCATTCTTTAAAATGAGATTCTGCTCCAAAGAATTTAGAGATCATATAATATAGCTTATAATGCAGACAAGAAGATGTAGATATTTGGCTTAATAATGATAGTTTTCAATTAGCGGTAGTATATCAAAGATTTTACATCTTTAATATACTACCAAAAACTGCCCATTATTGAACATAGTGTCCATTGTGTTCACAACACGAGCTACATTATATGTGAA